ATCAGATAGGTAGATAGAGAGAGAGAGAGAGAGACAGAGAGGAGAGAGATAGATAGATAGATAGATAGATAGATAGAGACAGATAGATAGATAGATATACATATATATTTATAATTATATATTTTTATGTATATATATATATACATATATATATATATATATATATATATATATATATATATATATATATGTATGTATGTATGTATATATGCACAATTATACATAAATGTTTAGATTAATAGATAAATAAAACAATATGTTTGTATTTATGTATATACATGTATATAAATACGCATATACATCCATATATATATGTATACTTTTTATATTTACTTATGTATGTCTATATATATAATTCATATATATATATATATATATATTATATATATATATATATATATATATATATATATATATGTAAAATATTTCACGGATAAATGCACAAAAGTATGACAAAGGGAGAATTTAACCTTTGATTAGTAATTTATGTTTTTGACGAGCGTGAATAATATTCGCTATGTTATTTTTTTCCGTTTTTAAACACGATTTATAATTTTAAAATGAAATACTCATAGTCGTGATATCCTTCACTTTTTGCTAAAGCTGCTGTTGGCCTCACCTGAAGAGCGAAGAACAAGAACAACAATATCTCCTTTAACAGCCTATTTTCCATAACCCAATAACAACAGCGAACTCACCTTGTGTGGCTTTCTGCCCGTTGACTGTGAGGTTGTTGTTGTTAACGATGTTGTTGCTCTCTGGCTGTGTGAGTTTACCCATGATGTTGTTACTGTTGTTGTTGTGGTTAATGTTGTTGTTCGAGGACGATGAAGACGATGTTTTATCGTTGTTTGCGGCTTTCGTCGTGGTTGTCGTCGCGCTGTGTCCCTCGGAATGACCGTTCAACAAGACACAGCCGTTATGGTTCATTCTCCTCCACAGGTTCACTCCTAAAGCTCACTACTACAGGCACACTCTCCCCGCGCGGCCTCTCGCTGCGGATGCTCAGAGCAACATCCTGGTTCGCTTCTTGGGAGATTTATCTATTTTTCATACAGTGTTTCTTGTGATTTTTGGTCTTTTTGAGGGGGGAGGGGTCGGTTCTGACACCAACGGAGATTTGTGCGTGTGGATGCGTGATGTAAGACTAAGAGATTTTAAATATTTTGATTATAATAGAGAACCCGTCAAGAACGAGTCCTTGCGAACGTCATTCAGGAGTCTTGGCGAAAGACGACGTACCAACACCACTCGGCAGAATCCTTCTCCTTTCCAGAGCGTCACCAAGAGAGTCTCTGATTCTTTCAGGAGAAGGTTTGGGATCCTTTCTTCCCGAGGATTTACGAGCTTTGTAAAGTTTCTCCCCGGAAAGTCGAATTGTGTTTTTGTGTGTATGCTATTTACCTATTTTTGTCTCTGCGGTGTTTTCTTAACCAGTCACATGGAATCGTCAAGCGCATGGATACAAAAGCAAAACCATTCTACAACAGACGACGAAACCAGACTACGTGCTTACAGAAGGTTCATGTATTTCGCTTTTTTATGGAATATCTTCGAGAACACGCACATCTGAAGACCATCAAAAACGTTCTTTGAAACAAGTCTCATTCCCTCTCGCTAATGAGTCCAGTAAAATCATCAACTGTAACAAGTCGTTCCAGATGCCTTTGGCTGCGCGTATGTTTGTATCTAAAAAAGAGGAGGGTTAAAAGTAAAAGAAAAAAAAAGAATCAAGGAAGGAGGTTTTGAAAGGCTGGTCGACCAATGCCAACGACTGCGATTCGGCCGTACGTCACCACTCTCGTCTTGCCGAAGCCAAACTGAGTGGGGGATGTTGAGCTCGCTTTCCCCTTCCCTGAGTCCCTCGGCCGCCGGCGATGCCACTGTACGATAACTGCCGCCTCTCTCACCTGCCGCACGCACGACCTGATGCTGGGGCTCTTGGGAGGAGGGGATGTGGAGACGAAGGGGAGGAGGAGAGGAGGAGGTGGGGAGTGGGGGAGGAGAGGTGGGGAGACGGCAGGAAAGCACGAGGGAGGACCAGCGCCACCTCGACCCTCCCCTTCGCCCCTCCTCCTTTCCCCTCTTCGTGCGCCCCTACCTTACCCTGCCCTCCCTACCGTCTCTCCCTTACTCTCCCTTTTTCCGTTTTCCACACGCTCTCCTTGGGCCTCTCCAGCTCCCCCTACTCTCTCTCTCTTTCCCTCAATCCCTCCCTCTCTCATTCTCTCTTTCCCCCTCTCATTCCTAACTTCCACCTTTCGTACCTTTCTTATTCTCTGCCTTCTCCCTCTTCCTTTCCTTCATCGGTGTTCGCTCCTCTCCCTCCCTGAACTCGCTTTTCCTTCTTCCCTTTCCTACCATTCACTTCCTCATCTCTCCCAATCATCCCCTCCCCCCACCTCTCACTCTTTTTTTCTTCTGTCTCTCTATCTCCTTTTCCCTCCTTTCCCTTTCTTCTTCCCATTCCTCTCATTCTCTTCTTTCCCTTCTTCTTCTTCTTCTCTCTCTCTCTCTCTCTCTCTCTCTCTCTCTCTCTCTCTCTCTCTCTCTCTCTCTCTCTCTCCTCTCTCTCCTCTCTCTCTCTCTCTCTCCCTCCCTCCCTCCCTCCCTCCCTCCCTCCTCCTCCCTCCTCCCGTCTCTCTCTCTCTTTCTCCTCTTCTCTTCTCCCTCCCTCCCCCCCTCTTCCCCCTCCCTCCTCCCCCTCTCTCTCTCTCCTCCCTCCCTCCCTCTCTCTCTCTCTCTCCGCTCTCTCTCCCTCATTCCCTCTTTTCCTCCTCCCTCCCCCCTCTCCTCTCCTCCTTCCCTCTCACTCTCTCTCTCTCCCTCCCTCCCTCCGTCCCTCTCTATCCCTCCTCTCTCGCACTCCCTCTCCCCCCCTCCCCTCACCCCACTCCTCTCTCCTCTCTCCTCTCTCTCTCATCTCTCTCTCTCTCTCTCTCTCTCTCTCTCTCTCCTCTCTCTCTCCCTCCCTCCCTCTCTCTCCCTCCCTCTCTCTCTCCCTCTCCCTCCCCCCACCCCCCTCTTTCTCTCTCTCTCCCTCCCTTCTTCTCCCTCTCCTCTCCCCCTCCCCCCCCCACTCTCCCTTCCCTTCTTCTCTCCCTCTCACTCTCTCTCTCTCCTCCTCCTCTCTCTCTTCCTCTCCTCTCTCGCACTCCCTCTCTCCTCCCTATCCCTCCCCACCCCCCCTCTCTCTCTCTCTCCCTCCCACCCTTCTCTCCTCCCTCCCCCTCTCTCTTCTTCCCTCCCTCCCTCTTTCCCCGATCCTCTCCTGGGAACCACTCAATAAAGCCATGTCGACGGTGCCTTTTGCCTCCCGAGTGTTCAACAAGAAGGTGATCATCAGTCGAGAAGGCAAATGTTTCTTGCTTCTCGGTTGCAAGGCGAGGGAGAGGGCTGGGTGAGGGAGGAGAGAAGGAGGAGGAGAATAGGGGCGATAATAGCAATAATGGGGATGAACTCGCTTTTGCTTTTTTTTCCCTTTCCTACCATTCGCTTCCTCGTCTCTCCCAATCCCCCCTCTCTTTCTCTTTTTCTTGGGAAAGGCGGAAGTTAGGAAGGAGAGAGGGATGGAGAGGAGGAGGGATAGAGGGAAGGAGAGGAGGAGGGATAGAGGGAAGGAGAGGAGGAGGGATAGAGGGAAGGAGAGGAGGAGGATAGGGGAGGGAGGAGGGATAGAGGGAAGAGGAGGAGGGATAGAGGGAAGGGGAGGAGGAGGGATAGAGGGAAAGAGAGAGTCATGTTTGCTGGTGTTGATGAATTGATAATGATAATAAATAATGGTAATATCGTAATAGCGGTAAGGATCATGCTAGTGATACTTGTACTACTAATACTACTGATTACAGTAATCAATATTATTATCAGCATCATGATAACTATTGTCATTATCATTGTCGTTATTATTTTCATTATCATTATTGTTATGATTACTATTGTTCACATTGTTATCATCGTCATCATATTGTTCTTACTATTTTCATCACTACTATCATTATCATTATCATTATCATAATTACTTTTATTATTATTTACTCTTACTATTATCACAATTCCTATTATTATTATCTTTATTATTATCATATTATTATTATTATTATCATTACTACTACTATCATTATTATTATTATCATCAATATCTTTATTATTATTATCATTACTGTTTTATCATCTTCATTATTATTTATTATCATTATTATCTTTATCATTATCATTACAATTCTTCTTATTATTATTATTATCATATTTTTTTTTATCATTATCATCATCATCCTCATTCTCCTCATTCTCGTTATTAGCATTAGCAATATTATTATCACTGCCATTTGGTGTTGTTGTTGTTATTGTTACTATGACCATCATCATCATCATTAGCAGTAGTAGTAGTAGTAGTAAGAGTTGAAGTAGTAGTAATACTATCAATCAGTTTTGTTTTCATTGTAATTAATATTATCATCATCATTTCTATTACTCAATTATTTTGATCAATTTCATCATTGCTTTTATCATTATTGTCATTATTGTTATTATTACCATTATCAATATTATCATTCTTCTTATCAGTATCATTATTATTGTTATTATCATCATTATTGTTATCATTATTTTTAATATTACCAGCAATATCATTATCATTATCATTATAAATGTTGTCACCTTTATCATTACCATTACTATCATTATCATTGTCATCACTATTACTGTCATTACTATTCTGATATTTATCATTATTGTTATTATTATCATTATCATTATTATTATCATTATTGTTATTATTATTACGATTACTATTATCATTATCATCATTATCATTGTTATAATTATTATTATTATTATTACCATTATCATTATTATTATGATTATCATCCTCATTGTTATTACCATCTTATTTATCATTACTATGATCATGCTGTCGTTGTTACAATTATTATCATTACAGTTGTCATTATTATTATCATTGCTGTCATTATTATCATTATTATTAGTAGTAGTATCAGTAGTTGTATAATAATCATTATCATTACTGTTGTCGTTGTTATTATTCATTGCTATTATCGTTAATATTATCGTTATTATTATTATCATTATTATTATTATTATTATTATTATTATTATTATTATTATTATATATTTCTATATTATTATCATTAGTAGTAGTAGTATCAATATTGACATTATCATCATTGCCATTACTATCAATTTACTTATATCATTATCATAATTGTTATTGTTATTATTATTATTATTATTATTATTATTATCATTATCATTATTATTATTATATTATTATTTTATTATTTTATTATTATTATTATTATTATTATTATTATTATTATTATTATCGTTTTTATCACTATCATTATTATTATTATCATTATCGTTATTATTATGATTATTTTCCATATCATTAATATAATCATTGTTTTTATTATTGTTGTTAGATTATTATTGTTATTATTATTATTATCATTTTTGTTATTATTATTATTATTATTATCATTACTGTCGCTGTTGTTGTTGTTATTATTACTATTATGATTGTTATTATCATCGTAATTATTCTTATTATCATTATTATCATTAGCATTATCAGCATTATTATCACTGTTGTTATTATTATCATTATTATTACTACTTCTACTGTTATTACTACTTCACCTTTTGACATAATTATTTTTTTTATAATAATATCATTATTAGTATTAGTCATATCGTTATCATTATGATATATTATTACGATTATTGTTTTTTGTTGTTGTCGTTGTTTTTGTTATTACTACTATTACTGTTGTTATCATCATAAATACTATTATTACAATTACCATCATTATCAGTATCCTTACTACCATTATAGGAATAAAAACTCTCATCTGCCTGGAAACAATCGTACGTAATGTTCTACTTCCAGAGGAGGCTTCAGTTGCCCCTTGGCTTCCATTGAGGAAGGATGTTGGTGCAGTTTTCTCCGAGATCTCGAGCCGAGAAATCAATTCCTCTAGTGATTTGAGTAGACTAAAATTTCTAATATTTTTGTAGGATTATGGCTTTTAACTACAGCTCTTTACTTTTATATTTCATTTGTGTTCTTACTCACGCATACACACGTGAACGAAATGTAAGCAAAACAACGAAGGGAAGAATTAGAAAACACACGAATATGATTTTTATTCCGCTATATTATTTCTTCAGTGTGTGTGTGTGTGTGTGTGTGTGTGTGTGTGTGTGTGTGTGTGTGTGTGTGTGTGTGTGTGTGTGTGTGTGTGTGTGTGTGTGTGTGTGTGTGGCGGGGGGAGGGGGGTATGTGTGCATTTTATTTAACTATTTCCCTTTCTTGCTTTACTCCTTTTTTCTCTATTGTTATTACTATCTTCATATAGCATAAAGCCACAATGATATATCGTCTTAAAGTCAACAAACTGTACACAAAAGCGGTCAACTTCCAATCCACTTATTGACTTAGAATTGACCTCTTGCAATACCGGACCCGTCAAAGAGAACAAGGAACGTGTCATTTCGAACCGAAATCATAATCTCGCTAATGGTCACTTTCGAAAGAGGGGAAACGAAAGCAAATATTATTTCCAACCCGCATGAAAATGACGAAAACAAATTTGGCGAGGGGACTGGTTTTCGCCGTTTCAGGGTTACTTAGGAAATGCGAAGAAATATTATTTGGGAAGGTGTGAAAATCATAGAAAAGGTTTAAAGATGAAATTTAGAGAAGAGTATATATATATATATATATATATATATATATATATATATATATATATATATATATATATATATATATATATATATATATA